TCACACATGATAACAAAATACGACAGTGTCTATCTACACTCACATGTGATCACAAATACGACAGTGTTTCTATACACTCACATATGAACACAACATACGACAGTATTTCTCTACACTCACATGTGATCACAAAATACGACAGTGTTCTCTACACTCACATGTGATCACAAAATACGACATTTTTCTATACACTCAAATGTGATCACAAAATACGACAGTGATTCTCTACACTCACATGCGATCACAAAATACGACAGTGTTACCCTTCCACTCACATGTGTTCACAAAATACGACAGTGTTTCTCTACACTCACATTTGATCACAAAATACGACAATGTTTTTTCTACACTCACGTGTGATCACTACATACGACAATGTTTTTCTACACTCACGTGTGATCACAACATACGACAGTGTTTCTCTACACTCACGTGTTATCACAAATTACGACAGTGATTCTCTGCACTCACATCTGATCACAAAATACGACAGTGTTTCTCTACACTCACATGTGATCACAACATACGACAGTGTTACCCTTCCACTCACATCTGATCACAAAATACGACAGTGTTACCCCTACACTCACACGTAATCACAAAATACGACAGTGTTTCTCCTACACTCACATGTGGTCACAAAATACGACAGTTTCCTATTCAGAAGAAGCCTTCCAAGGGGTACTCTAGCATTTTTCACCTAAAACATGTCTAATGGCCGTGCAAAAAGTTTCCATTTTTTAAAAAAAAATTATTATTTTTTAAACAAACTTTTGTTGATGCGGTATGCAGTGGTGAGCGTATTACCTCCCTTTTAGGAAACTTCGTGGCTAGGGTTTAACCAACATGCCATACAACTTCCTCTTTTTCTCGGCCATCGCTGGCGTCAGACGTGTTTTCTCCGACAGCGTCGCAAGCCAACTGAATCTAAGCTTTCTCTTAGTCATCATGTCGCAAGAATCATCTGTATGTATTCCTTTATCCTTTTTGGAGAACGTTTTACGTTCGCCGTCGTGGAATCGCATTCAAAATTCATATTTTCCGTGCTTTTTCTTAAACGCCAATTGCAGGGTCAAACTAACGTCAGTACACCCTCGCCCTCGCCGTCTCTGTATTAGGTGCCTGGAGGTGGAGGGGCACATCCCGAACGACTGAGATTTATGTCAGGCATTCACCCCTAAGACCCAGAAGCGGCGGGCGGCTGACCTCACGTTTCCCAAAGAAGCGAGGGAGGTTGTGGCCGACCATGCCGAGGTGCTCCCCCGCGAGTAAATCCAAGCGTAAAACGGTAGCTAAACGTGCCAAGGGGGATAGGGGTGGTAAAACTGTAAAGGAGACGGAGGTAAGCGCCCCTTCCGGTGTGGTGGTCCCTCCACCCCCGGGCTTTAACATGGAGCTTTTTTTTTAGAAGCAGCTTGAGGCTATGTGTGTCATGGTTGAGGAGTCGGCCAATGCTCTCTTTCAGCGGCCAAGGAGACTGTGAACCCTCGCTTAGGGCTGAGCAGACCTTGGCTTCGGCTCAAGGTCGGCAGGGGGAGGGACTTGGCGAGCAGTATGGTCATACGTCGGGTCCCGACCCAATGGAGGTAGAGACCGTTTTGGGCCCATCTTTGGACCAGCCACCATTACTCACCCCCATGGATGAGACACTGGACTCTGGTCCTGTGCCCTTCGACCAGTTGGCTTCAGGACCCCTCTCGATACCTGGTGTGACTACGAGGGTCCCGACTGGCATGCCTGCAGCTATGGGACATCCTGTTTCGGTGGGCTGCGGGCTGGCACCTCGGACCCGACCTCCATCGGTGACTTCGGTACTGGTGGGTGGGTTTCCCTCGGTGCCTTTGGCCCCCATATCTTCTACCCCTCCTATATCAGTGGTCTCTGCCTCCGCTAAATCCCAAGGTTTGCTCCAACCTCCCTCAACCTCTGCAGCCCAAACCCGTGGGGAATGGAGTGGACATTCAGCCCCCAGACACAGCCTGCCTTCTGCCAGAAATCCCTGTTGGTGGCCGACTAGCCCACTTCCTGTCAGACTGGGCAAAAGTCTGTTCAAATCCCTGGGTCTTGTCCACTATCAGGGAAGGCCACATGCCGCAGTAGAAGAAAAACCCTCCACATTTCTCAGGCATTAGTCACACTCCAGTGCCAAACCAGCCAGAGAAAGCAGACTTCCTCCGAATCGAAATCAAAGTGTTGCTAGACAAGGCTGCGATCGAGAAAGTACCAGTAGGACAGGAAAAGGAAGGCGTTTACTCCACTTTTCCTGTGAGTTATCAGTTCAAAGTGCTACCATTCGGTCTCGCTACGGCCCCGAGGGTGTTTACCAACCTGATGATGGTGCCTGCACAGGTCGCCAGGTCACAAGGTCGGTTTTGCCACCCTTACCTTGACGACTGGTTGATCCGAGCTCTGGCACTGGCGTCAAGCACGTCGGCAACCAAAGCAGTGTTTCACAGTCTCATTCGACTGGGTGGGATTGTGAACCTGAAGAAATCAGAGCTAGTGCCGTCTCAGGACCTCATTTTCTTAGGGGCGAGATTCAGTATAGGACAGGGGTTAGTTTCATTATCCCCCCGACCGCATCAAAAGGGTGAGGGAAGCGATTCTGTCATTCCTCTCGGTGCCAAAGGCCCCAGCTCGGACTTGGCTCCGTCTGCTTGGTCACATGGCAGCTACAGTAGATGTGGTATGGAGAGGACGGCTAAGAAGGGGTTTTTTTTGTTGTTGTTAAATCAGATTCCTGTGTTCTGCTCTCGGATCCCAGACCCAAGGGCGTTAGCTTCCGACGCCTTTGCACTAGATTGGACGAGCAAGATACTGTGGGCTTTCCTGCCCCTACCGTTAGTCCCCAGGGTCCTGTCTCAGATTTCCACTTAGCCAGCTCGACTTCTTGTGCTCCTCGCACCCCTTAGGCCGTCCCTGAGCTGGTTTCCGGTAAGTCTCAGGTTTCTGGCTCAGCCTCCTGTTCTATTACCTTTTAGACAGGACCTTCTAACTCAGAATGAAGCACCACACCCGAATCCCCACATTCAATGGGTGGCTTGGCCTCTGTCAGGTCTCAACTCGAGTCACGTGGAATTCCTGCACCAGTTGCAGACACAATTCTGGCTTTGAGGAGGGGTTCGACAAACGTCCAGTATGAGGATAGATGGGCCCGTTATGCGCGCTGGTGTGACAACAGAGGGTTTCCAGATCCCTTTTCTGCAGATCTAGTCACAGTTTTGGAGTTCCTTCAGTTCCGTCTGGACGATGGCTTGTCGGCCTCGACTATTCGAGGTTACTCCACGGCTATTTCTACCTTTCACATCCCTGTCGATGGTGCTCTTTTGGGACAGCACCCTCTTGTACAGCGCTTTCTAGCGGGAGTGGACAGAGTGCGCCCTACTACAAGGCGTACAAGTCCCCCTTGGGACTTGATGATCGTCTTAGATTGGCTCTCCGGTCCTTCCTTTTCGAGTCTGTCATCTCTTTCACTCCAGCTGCTAACATGGAAAACTGCTTTCCTTGTGGCGGTGACTTCTGGTAGAAGGGTGGGTGACATACATGCTATGTCTGCAGACCCAGCGCTTACTGTTTTCCACAAAGACAGAGTAAGCATTCGCCTACCGGATACTTATCGTCCTAAGGTTGCTCATACCTTCCATGTGACAGCTCCTATTGAGCTTCCTGCTTTCACACATCCTTCTACCTCGGGATCCTCTCCAACAAGCTCTCACTCGCTGGATGTTCGCCAGGTTCTCCATGCCTACATAAAGAGAACAAAAAAAATTGGTTTGCTGCTATGGCGGATGGATGGTTGGCAAACCAGCCAGTAAGCAAACTATTTCCCGCTGGCTCGTCTCTGCAATTTGTACAGCCTACAACTTTCAGGGTAGGACTCCCCCTGAGGGGTTGAAAGCTCACTCGGTCAGGGCTGTCGCTACCTCTAAGGCGTTCGCAGCGTCCCTGACTATTGAAGAGATCTGCTCAACGGCTATTTGTAGCCGACCGAGTACATTCATCAGGCATTACCAACTTGACCTAAGCTCGAGAGAGCGTGCTTGCTTCGGTCAATCGGTTCTCTCCAGTAGGCAGGGCCATGCCTCCCTCACCAAGTGATTTTGTATTGTGTATGTCATGGCCTTTGTATATCACTATGTATATATATCTATGCCTATATTGTTTGTGGTGACCCCTATCCCCTTCGGCGCATTGGGTTCTATGGGTTCATTTCACTCACTACCCCGTATTCCTTCCATGAAAGAGGAGAGGGGTGGGGAGGGGAGTATTTGACTCTAGGGTCACGTTATATTGTTATACAATATCCCATGAGCACCTCGGTGACCTATAGACAGCCTCCCTAGAGTCGTCTGTAGAGCCACCAGGTAAGCGTTACCTTCATACTTACCATTGTTTTGATTGTTGACGCAAGGGCAGTGGTATTATCTCCCTTAGCAGAATCATCCACTTCCATGACTTATCTCTTGGAGTCTGTATTCATGCTAGAGTACCCCAAGGAACACTTCTTCTGAAAAGGAATTACCTAAACCTGGAGAGGTTTCCAATTCCTCGAAGTAAGTCTTCCTTGGGGTACGGCCGCCCACCTCCCCTCGATTCTGCTCGCTCTTGACCAGAAAAAGAGTAAGTTGTATGGCATGTTGGGTAAACCCTAGCCACGAGGTTTCATAAAAGGGAGGTAATACGCTCACCACTGCATACCGCATCAACAAAAGTTTGTTGTTGTTGTTTTTTAAATATGTACATATATTTTTTACACGGCCATTAGACATGTTTTCTGTGAAAATTGCTAGAGTACCCCAAGGAAGACTTACTTCAAGGAATTGGAAACCTCTCAAGGTTTAGGTAAGTTTCTCCTAATCTTATACACTATCCTATCTATTTGTTTTGGAATGACGTAACCCCGAGCTCGAGTGTATGGAGGCGCCAGCTCACAACAGCATGACGAGACACTCTTCAAGGGTTAGAACTTCCCGTCCCACTTATACATACACCCGATAGCATCAATGTAATTATAGTACATACAAGGCAAGGCAGCTCTAGTTTCGCCTACAGTGCAGTACAGTGTTATCAACACAGACCAGGTTTCCATGGAGCAGTTTGCACATGCACACAATGTCCCAGAACTGAAGACAGGTAATTATTGTTTATGTTTGTTACTAATATGTTAATAATTTGTGTTATGTCGTTGGCATGACTTCGTAAAAGGTAGAAGACGCTGTAGATGTGGGTCACGCCCCGACTGGTGATGGATGTAGGCGATGTAGTTGCGTCATCCCCTGCCCAGTACACACAGTGTCTCGCTGTAACGCGCGCTTTAACATTGAAGTGAGCACTATCGCCAAGATTCACTGTGTGACATGTATAATAGAAAACGATGATGATGGTGATGGTGTCACGTGTAACATTACGTTTCTTGGGGGATCTGCCACGCCAGTCTGACGTACGATGACACTAGTAGCATAAACCATGTAGATATAAAAGGAAATACAACTCCCAACACACAACCTACAAAATTAAAATAACAGAAACAAAAATAGTGAAAATATACAATTTCAAAACAACAACTCCAAGTCAGCATCATACTCGTACTCGTACCCGCATCATGTATCTCCCATCTGACGTACATACACATCGAGACAGTATTCAGCTTGGTAGTTTGCTATTAATGTGAAATGTATTACACTGTACACTAAAACTGCAGTTACGTATATTTTTTTTTATTTATTTATTTATTTATTTATTTAGTGTGTGTGTGTGTGTTTTACTATGACTGTATCGCTGCAATATATAAAATATATAACAGTCAGTTAACAAAGGTAAGCCTTAGAGTGAGCACCATCAGATGTATGTAAAAAGCAAGGAAAACAATCCCCAGCCTTACAGTGAGCACCTTCAGATTTAAGTACAAAGCACACATACAATCCCCAGCCTTACAGTGAGCACCTTCAGATTTAAGTACAAAGCACACATACAATCCCCAGCCTTACAGTGAGCACCTTCAGATTTAAGTACAAAGCACACATACAATCCCCAGCCTTGCAGTGAGCACCTTCAGATTTAAGTACAAAGCACACATACAATCCCCAGCCCAGTATGAGTCTGAACCCCAGAGTTAAAAATGATAAAAAGCGATATCATGCTATAAAAATAATGCGCTATGTTTAGCAAGAAGAAGCAATTATATAATATTTATTTTATAAAAAAAGTTTCAAATATGACCAGTTTCTAGGCATTGTTTTAATGATATTAGCTGCGAATTCATCGAAGAGGCAGCCGTATTCAGTCCATGTCTGAGGCTTGAGAAGACTTTGCAGTCATATCAAAAAGTGTTCCATCTTCAGCACTGAGAGTTGGTTGATTGTTCTAAACTCATTGGTTTCGTGTTTCCTGTTTTGTGCTGTATATCAAAAGCCGTTTGTGATCTTGAATTACTTTGAGTCTCCTTTAGACACCTCCTATTATTCCTGTCAGCTGCAGGCACAATACAGTTTGCAGTGTATTTAGTGAACAGCCTTCACGTCTCAAACACTCATGGTTAATATTTCAGATGGGTCAGCCATGAATTTGTCTATACATCCTGTTATCTGGCTAATTGTGTATCACAATATACGGAAGAGTTCATGTTTGCTTATCTGTAAAATCCCTTTGTCTTCACAAATCAGGACAAATGTTGTAAACAGCTTTACAAATATCGATACATGAACTGTCGTTAAAATCATCTGTTGGAATTAGGCGGACACCTGCAGCCTTCATGCACTGGCCCTGTTTATGGCACTAATCACACCTGGGGATTTAGCATATAAAACGTCCGTATCGACATCAACCGAATCAATAACCTCAAAGCACAGTCTGTCTTCGATATCAGAAACATTCGTCTCATCAAACATGATTGTGTTTTCCCCACTGAACAAGAAACCGTAATCCGATGTCCACTGATCTATTACAGATCGCCCTTCAGTTAATACAGTTTGTCTTTTTTGTCGGTATCTGTCCCTGTCTGTTGTTGGCTATTCCAGTTATATCGGTTACCATAGAAACTTCTATAGTGAGGGGTACTGTACTGTACATAGTTGCGCAAATGTTTATCAAACAGTTATTTGTCGGATGCCTATTTACGTTTTGTATTTACGTTTTAGCGGACTCTTTATAATTACACTTTAACCACCCCCGACAGCAACAGATTTGCATGTCCATCCACCTGTCCGTTGTCCGAACTTGCAATACAGATCAATGGTCAACTGAACCTATTTGTTTGAATGGGTTTGTTTGCTGTTTGTTGCTACATGTTCACTACTTTACAGAACATGATAGTAGTGTTCCTGTCCGGTTTCAGGGATATTAAAACGTAGTAAACAGCGTTATTTTTTCACTCACGTCATTTTATACATTCTCTCAAGTGTCTGTCCTATGATATTGATCATCCAACCGTTTCCAGTCCAGAAATAACAGAGGGCAAAGATGATTCGTTTGTATAAATCAGAGTGGCAACAGAATGTTGGACGATCTGTTATCATGATTGTGTGGAAGGGCCACTATGCCCGTAGTACAGCTGTGATGACGTGTGTGGATGAAACATTATTTGTAGGCTAAAACATTTCATCACCAGTTTCAATGTACTTTTGTTAAATCATTCAGTGTGTTTTAGAGGAACGGGGAACACCAGTACATTATCAGGAGATGTCATCACGTTTTATTTACCATGACATCCTCTGGCTTCTAGTCCACAAGCATAGCTTTCGATGTTGTTGTGGTCGATTTATAAAGACGTGAAGCATGAAATCAGTCATCAATTTATAAATAATTCATAATAAATGTCCACCTATGTAATGCCACACACGAAAGTGTTGGAAGACAATTCCCGCTGTGTAATAAGTGTTCGAATTTCTACATATGTGCTTCTGTACACTAATTAATCAAACTCAGCTGCCATGGATATCAGAACATCATTTGAATTGCTCATATCAGAACAAGCTGTAACGAATGATAATGTTTCTTGTTTTGCAGATACATACACCGACTATCGCTGTCTAATGTGTCGGTGTGCTATGTGTAAGTAGATCACCAGCAACTTAACCAACCTGGTCCACCGATATGAAGCCCATCACTGGGTTTCTCATCGCTCTAACTGTGGCGTACACAACAAGCCACAACATGACATGTCGGATATACCTTGACCCTGGATTAGGTGGTAGCCGAGCTGACTGTCGCGGCCTCCACCTTACCAAGGTTCCTGGTGATCTTCCCTCCAACACCGTCAGCCTGGACCTCAGCGACAACCACGTAACAGTTCTGATGAGCAGGGCGTTCGTCCACATCCCGCGGCTGTTGACTCTAGTCATTTCGCATAGTCGTGTTTCGCGGTTAGAACCACGTGCATTCGAAGGCTTGACAAACCTCCGCAGTTTGAACCTAAATTACAACCACCTCCAACTTGACAATGACACCTATCCGCAAGACATATTCCGTCCTCTAGAACGTCTTACCGACTTGAACCTCGGCTACAACAGCTGCCGGTTGAGAGGAACTACCCCTCATTGGATATTTAAGTGGTTAACCAATTTGGAAACGCTAAAAATTGACACATTTGAAGATGACATATTTGGAAGTGGATTTGGGTATTTAAAAAACCTGACAACACTGAATATTGGCACTGGAGATAAAGATGAATGTACATATTGTGCCATAGATGTTATTCATAACCACACCTTTTCAGCTTTTGAAAATTCCACACTCAAAGTCTTGATCGCATCAGATTGTCACTTACATTCTGTTGAGGCTGGAGCTTTCAGTCCTTTAAAATCGATTTCTAAGATAGTTTTCGACTCAGTGAAGTATCTACCATCGAGTATTGCACTACGTGCATTCTATGGTCTGACAGGTAAACATGTGTCTAAAGTGTTACTGCCATCATCGTACACTTCTGTCTACTCACTACAGGACCTAACAGGTCAACTTATCTCTAACGGCATTCTCAGTAAACTAACGGACATTTGTATCGACCATATCGATCTCAGCTCAAACACAATTATATACATAGATTATAATTTCCTGAAAGTATTTTCAAAATGTTTGAAATTTCTTGACATTTCTAACAACAAGCTGCTTGGTAATCAAATGCTGTTCCTCCAAATGCGAATGTGTGAACAATTACAACACCTTGATGTGTCACATCAGCAGAAATATAACAAACATGAGAATACACACACACTGGTACACAGATTTCTCACTGCAAACCTCCACTCTGAAGGTTACCATAGAGAAGACACGTCAAACTTTAGTTGGAATAAAGTACTTCCTTTAAATGAAGTGACTGTCTATTTCCCTCCTAATCTCCGTATTTGTAATCTAAGCGAGATGGCGGGTCGATTTGGACGATTTTTCATAACACAGGTCGTTGGCGCATCACATTTGAAACTTCTGAATTTAGCTAACAATGGTATGTGGGGTTTATGGAAAACTATTGGAGGCTTAACAGCTCTACAATACTTAGATCTATCTGGTAATGAAGGTCATGGGATGACAAAGGACTTCATACAGTCTTTTCCAAACCTGACCTATCTATCTTTGAACAACATGGGTTTGGATAAGAACACACTTCTGGAGGGGGAACCAGTACTTGAAGGTTTGAAGACAATCAATGGTTTACGTCACTTCGAGATTGTAGGAAATCACATTCAGTGGATGGACATGCGGTATTTAACGACATTGACTGTTCTAAATATCTCCAGAAACAGTCTCGTGTCTATACCGTTTAAGCAAAATGACTTGCCTTTCCTCAGCGTTCTCGACCTGTCTCTAAACGCTATAACCTACTTCGATGATGACACCATGGAGATGTTGGAGATTCTAGGACAGAGGAACAAGCTTATCCTGAAGTTGGATGGGAACCCTCTCTCCTGTTCGTGTCAGTCGCTCATGTTTATTCAGTGGATGTTTACGTCGTCAGTTACCTTCGACAGGAATGCGACTTACTCATGTGTGACAGAGTATGCTGTATTTACAACAACGCACAGAGTGTATCAAGACTTTAACTATCACTGGACGTCGTGTCAAGGCCGATTTTGGCTGCCCGTATCCATCTCTCTGATGTTCTTAATAGCTCTTCTTCTTGTGTCAGCAGTACTGGTGTCATCAAACTGGACAAAGATTGAAAATTTTATTTTGGTCCTCATGGGTCGAGGGGTCCAAAGAGTGTCGAGACAGGATTTCAGAAAGGATGCATATGTAGCTCATTCAGATCAGGAAATTCAGTTTGTCATGGACGCGCTACGTAGGGCACTGGAGGACACCCACGGACTGAGGCTAATTCTCCCAGAAAGAGATTTCCTTCTGGGCGGATTCGTTGCTGACCATGTTGTAGAGAGTATCAACAAAAGCTGGAAGACAATACTGGTTGTGTCAGATGATTTTCTGGATGATCCCTGGTCCTACTTTATCATGAAGTCGACAACATATTACGTCTCCAATATGAATCCTAACCGGCTGATCTTGATGGTGCTGGGGGACGTGAACCGTGGTCAGCTGCCAGACCTGCTCCTCAGTGTCACCGCGGAGGAAGACATCATACAGATGGACGATCTCCCGGACCACAACGACAAGGTGTGGCTTACTGTCAGGGACAGAATCCTGGCTCCAGCATAAAGCTTCATATTTCAATCCTGTCTTCATTAACATCACACATTTCATTAGACACGTGAAGATTCATGTGAGATTTACCGATTGCTTCATGTTTGTATCATGTTATACCGCAGAGTATTTCATTGTAGAGCCGTGTTGCACTTGTATTACATAGTTTCTGCTGAGATGGCTGTGGTGTGCTGGTTATGTGTAAACTGTTTGCTGGCTTCACGCTTAGTTATCTCACGGTCTAATTTCCGGTTAACTGTTCAGTTAACTGAACTGTTCAGTTAACAAGAAGATGGATAAACATTGTATTTTAACTGGAGATATACTCTGGTTTCACAGCCTGGTTTATAATATTCGGCAGAAATGAACGCAACTTGTGTAATATGTATAACATTAATCAATTCTGTTGTCAACAATCACCGATTTTATTGCGACTTTAGAGACACCTGCAAGCACATTTTACCTCCAAATGTTACATAAATAGCATTTACAAACAATGACCGTATAACAGAGAGATTAACATGTGATATAAAATTGTAATCCGTGGCCTCTCAATTACATCTCATAGAATTTATTTTTATGTGTGTGTTTATGAACAAATTATAACTGTGAATGGGTGAATTTAGTTTTACACCGCACTCAGCAATATTCCAACTATATGGCAGTGGTCTGTAAATAATCGAGTCTAGATCTAGAGCATGAGCATCGATCTGCGCAATTGGGAGATGATGCTAGCCTGGCCACCCGATCCCGTCAGTCGCCTCTCACGACAAGCATGGGTTACTGAAGATCAGTTCTAACCCAGATCTTAACGGGTCACAAAATAAAACACTGTTGACAAATATTATTTTAAATATTTACTTTCAGATATTGAGTTCAAGGCAAATTCATGTATTTTTCCATTTCATGTGTAATAGATGTATAACTTTACGATGTGTTGCCTTATTTGTTTGTTGTGTTGTAAGACGGTGCAAAATATTCCGGCAATAACATTGTGGCCTATAAATAATCGCATCGTGCCCCGACAACCAACGTGTGCCGTCCCTTGCTGGCGTCCCATACCGACGGGGTACAATGACACACGCATCCCTCCAAGTGTCAGAACTAGCGGAACTTACATCATGCATGGATTACTGTTGGGTGATAATTATTTCCGACCCTATACGGTGTCATTTCTAACAATAGGTCACGAGATACTGATAGGTTCCGGTTTCGGTTCCAAACGTTTCACACAACCACACGACGTGTCACACAACCACACGACGTGTCACACAACCACACGACGTGTCACACAACCACTCGACGTGTCACACAACCACACGACGTGTCACACAACCACACGACGTGTCACACAACCACTCGACGTGTCACACAAATTTTCGAGGAATGTGTAAAAATTGCGGTTTTTTGTAATTTCGTTGCGATATCACATCAGTATATCTAGAAGTTGAACGACGCCAAATTAGATTGTATGACATGTGATGCTATGAACAGCAAGTGGTGTCTTGGTCAAAACGACAGACCAGTAAGTATTAATAAACTTATGTTATAAATCATATATACTTCGGTAGTCAGTTACTATTCGGCGATGACACGTTTTAAATAGCTGATACACATGAATGTTTGTTGAAGGTCAAGGGTCCTCCTTGTGGTGAGAGGATCACAATTTATAAATCACAGTCTATAGATCACAATTTATAGATCGGAAACTGCCCACAATCACCAGCAGCTGAAAGGATTGTACACATCCTGCCCGTGGAAACAATTACCAGCAGCTGAAAGGATTGTACACATCCTGCCCGTGGAAACAATTACCAGCAGCTGAAAGGATTGTACACATCCTGCCCGTGGAAACAATGACGGATTTACACATCGGCCCTGCCCGTGGAAAACATACGTAGGCCCTACATGACGGTTTTCGGCCCTGTATCACATACAGTACAACCAGAAATTATTGAGAATTTAAGATTGTAATTTTGTATATTTTTTTCACTCATTACTCACGTATTAAATGTGAATATTAGCAGAACATAACTCCAGATTCAAAGGTTCAGACTCATAACGCCGACCTTTTGACCAAACTTTACGGTTGAGTGAAATATAAAGGTCGACCTCCTGAAACTAGTTTCATTTTGCCAATTAATAATGGATTACGAGGACAATGCGGGATCAAAGAGTTGTTAGAGGAGGAAAATCCGGATTATGCGGATGAGAGCGCACCTAATGAGAAGATGACAACAGATGACAGATTTTTATCAGGTGACAGATTTTAGCATTTTTAATAAATACATCGTAAGTTCATATAGCATACATTTTTTCACAGATTTTAACCTAAATGCAATAGGTGGGATGCTGAATTAGCAAACTGCCTCACGGACAGTGTTCCTTGTTCAAGCTGGTGACAGATGTCATCCAGTCGTCGCTCCAAATCCCTGTATTTCCTCTTCTTGGACGGACGCTTCTGGCCAGCAGCATACTGGACCAGCTTGTTTTCGGTGTTGGTCTGTTCTCGTGACAGGAACGACACAATCTCGAAAATGTTTGGATGAGCCTTGCCGACGTATTTCTTCAGGCGTGAATGCCACCCTTCTAGGTGGTTGTTTGGCCCATCTGTGTTGTGGTGGTTCCATTGCGTCATGTGCAGATCTCCCTCCACCCAGAAGTTGGTCATGTAGTCTCCGAGTTGTCGGCAGCGGTCATCATCTGGCATCGTTGCCAAGGTATCCAGCCACAGGTCCTCTACCTGAAAAAGAAAATATACATTAATTAATGTTACTGAATATACAGGTCAAAATAACACCTTTATTACACAACCTATTGGGGTAGAGCTAACTATTTGTTTTAAAATAACTTACTTCCTGTGCTGGCACCAACGGCAAGACGGCACATCTCCGGACGAACCTCTTGATCTCGTCATCGTCCTGGTAGGCCTTCTGGAGATGGTGCTGCTTGGTTCTCCTCCATACACACTGGGTGAAGTGGAAGAAGCAGCCCTTCCACTCGCTTCGGTGGAACACGATCGCAGAGGCGTTTCTGGAGGCAACCTCATAGTCCACCTTCAGCTTTTCTGGCGTCTCCTTCGCCTACAAAAAAGCAAAGAATTATTAACCATTTGGTTCCAAACTTTTCCATTTATTAAGCATCTTACTGAAACACTGTTATAAAATTCGACAAAACTGTGGCAATCACTGAATAATATTTATACATATATAAGAATTTAAACTCTTACCTTAATATCACTCGTGACAGTTTGATGATTGTGTTCATCTTTCACCATGGTGACGATGTCATTCGTTGTTGATGCTGTGGATATGCACTCTTTTGCAGTACATATCCAAGATATCAAGTCTCGTTTTCTCTTGCTGACTCATACAGTATCACGATGTGTGAGTCTTGTATCATGTGTGTCCTGTATCACGGTGTGTGAGTCCTGTATCAAGGTGTGTGAGTCCTGTATCACGATGTGTGAGTCCTGTATCACGATGTGTGAGTCTTGTATCATGTGTGTGAGTCCTGTATTACGATGTGTGAGTCCTGTATCACGATGTGTGAGTCCTGTATCAAGGTGTGTGAGTCCTGTATCACGATGTGTGAGTCCTGTATCACGATGTGTGAGTTCTGTATCCTGTGAGTCCTGTATCACGATGTGTGAGTCCTGTATCACGGTGTGTGAGTCTTGTATCATGTGAGTCCTGTATCATGATGTGTGAGTCTTGTATCACGGTGTGTGAGTCTTGTATCACGATGTGTGAGTCTTGTATCATGTGAGTCCTGTATCACGGTGTGTGAGTCTTGTATCACGATGTGTGAGTCTTGTATCATGTGAGTCCTGTATCACGGTGTGTGAGTCCTGTATCACGAAGTGTGAGTCCTGTATCACGATGTGTGAGTCTTGTATCATGTGTGTGAGTCCTGTATTACGATGTGTGAGTCCTGTATCACGATGTGTGAGTCCTGTATCACATGTGTGTGAGTCCTGTATCACGATGTGTGAGTCCTGTATCACGTGTGTGAGTCCTGTATCACGGTGTGTGAGTCTTGTATCATGTGAGTCCTGTATCACGGTGTGTGAGTCCTGTATCACGATGTGTGAGTCCTGTATCACGGTGTGTGAGTCCTGTATCACGGTGTGTGAGTCCTGTATCACGATGTGTGAGTCCTGTATCACGATGTGTGAGTCCTGTATCACGGTTTGCGAGTCTTGTATCATGTGAGTCCTGTATCACGGTGTGTGAGTCTTGTATCACGATGTGCGAGTCTTGTATCATGTGAGTCCTGTATCACGGTGTGTGAGTCCTGTATCACGATGTGTGAGTCTTGTATCATGTGAGTCCTGTATCACGATGTATGAGTCTTGTATCACGATGTGTGAGTCCTGTATCACGTGTGTGAGTCCCGTATCACGGTTTGTGAGTCCTATATCACGATGTGTGAGTCTTGTATCACGGTGTGTGAGTCTTGTATCACAATGTGTGAGTCTTGTATCATGTGAGTCCTGTATCACGGTGTGTGAGTCTTGTATCACGATGTGTGAGTCTTGTATCATGTGTGTGAGTCCTGTATTACGATGTGTGAGTCCTGTATCACGATGTGTGAGTCCTGTATCATGTGTGTGTGAGTCCTGTATCACGATGTGTGAGTCCTGTATCAAGTGTGTGAGTCCTGTATCACGGTGTGTGAGTCTTGTATCATGTGAGTCCTGTATCACGGTGTGTGAGTCTTGTATCACGATGTGTGAGTCCTGTATCACGGTGTGTGAGTCCTGTATCACGGTGTGTGAGTCCTGTATCACGATGTGTGAGTCCTGTATCACGATGTGTGAGTCCTGTATCACGATGTGCGAGTCTTGTATCATGTGAGTCCTGTATCAAGGTGTGTGAGTCTTGTATCACGATGTGCGAGTCTTGTATCATGTGAGTCCTGTATCACGGTGTGTGAGTCCTGTATCACGATGTGTGAGTCTTGTATCATGTGAGTCCTGTATCACGATGTATGAGTCTTGTATCACGATGTGTGAGTCCTGTATCACGTGTGTGAGTCCTGTATCACGGTTTGTGAGTCCTATATCACGATGTGTGAGTTGTATCATGTAGTCCTGTATCACGGTGTGTGAGTCCTGTATCCTGTGAGTCCTGTATCACGGTGTGTGAGTCCTGTATTACGGTGTGTGAGTTCTGTATCACGAGGTGTGAGTCCTGCATCACGGTGTGTGAGTCCCGTATCACGGTGTGTGAGTCTTGTATCACGATGTGTGAGTCTTGTATCACGATGTGTGAGTCTTGTATCCTGTGAGTCTTGTATCCTGTGAGTCCTGTATCACGGTGTGTGAGTCCTGTATCACGAGGTGTGAGTCCTGTATCACGGTGTGTGAGTCTTGTATCACGATGTGTGAGTCCTGCATCACGTTGTGTGAGTCTTGTATCACGATGTGTGAGTCTTGTATCATGTGAGTCCTGTATCACGATGTGTGAGTCTTGTATCACGATGTGTGAGTCCTGTATCACGATGTGTGAGTCCTGTATCACGTGTGTGAGTCCTGTATCACGGTGTGTTAGTCCTGTATCACAATGTGTGAGTCCTGTATCACGTGTGTGAGTCCTGTACCACGGTGTGTGAGTCCTGTATCACTCTGTGTGAGTCTTGTATCACTGTACACAGTGTCCTGTACTGTTGAAACATGTTGAAACATGC